TGGATAAGCCAGCCGGCGGAAGACCTGTGACGACAAATACCGATCAAATCATGGAATACATCGAGTTAGACCGGCATGTGGCATCTCGTGACATCGCCCAGGAGATGGGAGTTAGTCACCAAACCATTTTAAACCATCTGCAGAAGGCTGGATAAAAAAAAAAGCTTGATGTTTGGGTGCCGCATGATTTGACGCAAAAAAAACTTCTGGACCGAATCAACGCCTGCGATATGCTGCTGAAACGGAACGAACTCGACCCATTCTTGAAGCGGATGGTGACTGGCGACGAAAAATGGATCACATACGACAATATCAAGCGAAAACGGTCGTGGTCGAAGGCCGGTGAATCGTCCCAAACAGTGGCCAAGCCGGGATTGACGGCTAGGAAGGTTTTGCAGTGTGTTTGGCTGGATTGGAAGGGAATCATCCACTATGAGCTGCTCCCATATGGCCAGACGCTTAATTCTACCATCTACTGCGAACAACTGGACCGCTTGAAGCAGGCGATCGACCAGAAGCGTCCAGAATTGGCCAACAGGAAGGGTGTAGTGTTCCACCAGGACAACGCCAGACCACACACTTCGTTGATGACTCGTCAGAAGCTACGGGAGCTCGGATGGGAGGTTTTATCGCATCCACCATATAGCCCGGACATAGCGCCAAGTGATTACCACCTGTTACTGTCCATGGCGAATGCCCTTGGTGGTGTAAAGTTGAACTCAAAAGAGGCTTGTGAAAAGTGGCTGTCCGAGTTCTTCGCAAATAAGGAGGGGGGCTTTTACGAGTGAGGTATTATGAAGTTGCCGTCTAGATGGAAACAGATTATCGAACAAAACGGCGCATATTTGAACTAAATCCGATCACTGTAACACTTTTTATAAAGCATTGAATAAAGAGCAAAAAGGCGGAAGGGAGATTTTTGCCAAACTATTATTATAATCTATATAGGCAAAAGCACACCAATAGGTGTGTAATCTATCTGCAAGCGTTTACGAAGTCGAATCTTAAGGGCCTTCTCCACCGATGTTCTCAGCTCTGACCACATCCCGATTCAAATCGTCCTCGATCTAGACGGGGCAAACTTCCAAATCCAATAGACAAATAGTGCAATTTAAAAAAAATACAAGCCTGAAAATCTTCAAGAACGCCCTGTTAGATAAACTCCTACTAAATACGAAGACTCGCACTGGTCACAACATCGACGATTGCATCGAAATTTTTATCAATAATATCAAGTTCGGAGCTAAAGAATATATTATCTTTGAAAGTTATTATTTATTCAAAATAGGTTCCACTTGACTCAAAACAACGTTTGAAACGATCACCCAGCGCATGCATAGATTTTTTTATGTCATTTATAGAAATATTCTTCAGTACCTCGGTTACGGCTGCTTGAATGGCTAGGATATCATCATAAATTGCTCCCTTCATCTTGGTTTTCAGTTTTGGAAATAAAAAATAGTCACACGGTGATAAATCAGCCGAATACGGAGGATGGTCGATGAGAGAAGTTAGGTGCATTTGAAAGAGGATGAATGTATATTTTTATTGTTGCAAAATTTCAAGTAAACAGGATCTTCAAGGCAGCAGTTACAGAAGAAGCCACGTGGTTCAAGGCGGCCGAAAACATTATATCGAAAGAGATAAAAAAGCACAGAGCAAAACAAATCAATAAAAAATGACAAGGAATTGTGGAAAATTACAAGCTGTATTAAAAAACAACCCCAACCCTTTTGGCGCATTAAGAAGGACGATGACGGCAACTGACTGATGACACTTAGCCCCTGTACAAGGACAGTCGACTAAAGAGCCGAAACTTTCGTCTCCAACCTCGAATAGCGTTTCAAACGAAATCAGAAAAATAAGATCGGCGACAGGGAATTTATCAAAAATGAGCTAGATAAATTCAAATTAAAATTGGCATCAGTGAACTCAAGGCGGTCACCCTAACTGAACTGGACGCTCTGATCAACTAACTAGAAGCGTAATAAGCCCCGTCCAAAAGAAGGCAGAATCTTATTATCTTTCTATACAATAAAATTAGCAATACTGAACATTTTCCAAACAAGTGGAAGCTCGCCAATGTCTCAATGATCCTAAAACTTGGAAAACTTGCTACCGCCCTATTAGTCTACTTTCTTGCTTCCCCAAAATTTGCGAATGAATCTTGCTAAACAGTCTGTACATCATAGAATACTTTGGTAAGGCAATCCCCAACGACCAATTCAGATTAAAAAAGGATCATAGCTCATCAGCTAGCCAGAGTAACTCAATTCATTCTGCAAGCCTACGAAGAGAAGGAAGTCTTTTCAGTCCCATTTCTGAACATAACGGAAGCATTTGACCGAGTATGGCACCAAGGTCTACTCTACAAACTGACTAAGCTAATTGGGATTCCAATACAACTCTTTATTGAGTTATACCTTACAGTGTCACAATTAACCAGGAAACGTTCTCCAGAATTGATAACATTGGTGCGCGGGTGCCCCAGGGCAGCATCGACGGACAAAGGGTAGCTAAACTATTCAAGCAACACTATCTTGGGGCGCTCTCACCTTTCTCTAAGGGAAATTTGGAATGGCAGAAGTCCGCTATCCAAGTACACTAAAATATTGCTATGGAAACATAGCACATATCCCCTATTTGGCCACCAGCAATCTAGGGAGTCATTAGTTTCAGTTAACCAAACTAAAAAGGAGAAAACTCTTGAAAACAAGTACTTATCAATGCAAACAGATACACCAGACAAACAGTAATAAGGAAAAATACAATATTAAATCTTTTAAAGAAGTATTTCATCAAGGTCATAAAGCTAGCAGCTCTACAGCTACACTGAAAAAAAAAACCAGGAAATAGTCTCTAAAATGAGATTGAAGACGAATTGAAGACGATGAAGAGGAAGCTAGGGAAATTATAGCCGACGAGGAAAGGAGAGAAAACGAAGGCGAGAGACCTATAAACTTATAAACAGGGAAAAGTCCCAAGGGGGAGAGTCATCGAATTAATGCTTGGCCAGCCTACTTCGTTCATAAAAATTGAAATCCCTGATTATGAACCTGAAAACTGACAAAGGGTGTTCAATCAGATAAGTTCAAAAACCCGACCTCTTTCCTGCAAAGTTTTCTCTAACAGCAACAAAAATGTCCATCCCAGGCAATTTAAATATAAATTGATTTTACAATATACAAAAATATTCTAATCCAAGTAAAGCGTTTAAATTCCTGTGGGAAAATAAAAACAATCATATGGATAACATAAAAATACACCCACAATACTCACTTTAACGTATCCGGACAAAGAAGCCTGCTGAAAACTACTTCTACTGATCCTGACGAAGCGATGCGAAGAAATCCACCAACAGGACCTACAAGACCAATGGAAGATGGATATGAGAAGGATAAATGCACCAAAAGCATGATCAAATTAAGCTGACCCTCTGCAGCAAATTATGAAAGCAAATTATGAAATATTATCCAAAGCGCAGATGAATATACGATAAGGATTAATGAGTGGCGATAACATGGCGAAGCTAAGTTAACTAAGCTTGCCATTATGTTTTGACAACGGCACTATTTTTTAAGAAAAATCCGATACTGCGTGGGCTACACCAGATCCTCCTACAGCAGATTGAAACTCTTCCACAATAGCGCAGTTTCAAACGGCTCCTCCATACCAAGTCTTCCCTCGTCGCTGCTGATCATTTCCGCTGATGTTGAAAGCGGTCAATTTTGCGCACTCCATAATAGTCCTCTTTGCCTTAACAACTCCTCCAGCACGCATTCATAATGCGTAACTATCAGGGCAACGTCTCCCCATTCATCGCCACTATTTAAATCTCGATAGCCGTCTTCATGCAACACAACCATCCCAAAACAATGTAAGCAAGCGACACGGGGCTACTGCACGCCAAAATATACATTTTTCTGTGCCTCGAATTGCATCTCTTCAAACGGCAGAAAGATCGACAAAAATGTGTTCTTCCGGCAACAGACATCCCCCAAATAGGTTAACATTTGGCCCTGAAAATATAAATTAATTAATGATAAATTTAAAGTTACCAACAAAGTTCGGATATATTAGAAACGAGATCAACTAGACAAATCGAGACCAACAACTCTAAACAAAAAGCTGCGCTAATAGTTCGACTACTTCGACTTCCGAAAATAGCTTGGAAATGCACAGTTGAAGCTCAATTGTAAATAATTTTCTCTTCTCTACGCCATAGTCATCACTCACTGCCACGAACAACAAGAGATGGGCTACCGCTAGCCGAAGTGTCTAATAAAATGACAAATTGACCAGCGTCACACGACAGATAGTGGTAACTCGACACACAAGAACGATTGACTCCTGCAGCCTTTTGAAGAGCAGCGTATACATGGCAATGCATCCCTAATTTAATACTGGCGGCTAAATACAGAGAAATTGATAAAAAAAAATGATAAATTGATACAAATTTTACTTCCAAATTTTAATTCCCTGGACTCGAGTAGCTGGAACTGAAAAGAGAAATACCGAATACAGACACAAAATTAGACACAAAAATCGCACTAATCTAATTCAAATACTTGCATCCAATTCCACGGACTTTCTCCAGCGGCAGTGTCCCTTGGACACCCTCGCCTGAGGTTTTCCATATCCATGACGAATTCCTTGCCTATATACAGACTGACTCCAGCTGAAGAAACCCAGAAATAAGGGAAATTTCACTTGAAATTGCTATTAACAGCCGCTCAGTGGTAGCAAGCACCACATTTTTGTGTTGCAAGTCGCGCCGTCCCTGCGGCAGCTTGTGGCAGATCAAATTTTTATTCTTCTCGTGATATTCTTGATTAGTATTAAATACCAAGTAGATATAGTCAGGTGCGGTTTGTTTTCTAAAAACTCTGAACAAATATCGTTCTTTGTTTATAATTTAATTAGTAGGCATGAAAACTAAAGCCATACATAAATATACAATACAAAATCCTTGCACAGTTAGCTAACAAAAACTTTCCGAAATGTCTGTAATATTTAATGCGAGTGTAAATACTAAGAGCGCTGTGGAGTACCAAACAATATCATCCACGCAAAGTCATTTAGCGGAGGAACAGTCAGAGCGTTTGCACAAGTGGATTTCAAAGGACCAACTCGAGAAACTTCACGCAGCGTTCCTTAATACTCACGAGCGGCATGTTGGCATAGATGAATTGCGTATCATTCTTGAAGAACTAGACATAACGTTCAATGATTCTATGTATACACGGCTCTTTTTAAAGATTAATCAGAATCGGGATTTTAAGGTGGATTGGAACGAGTTTGTGTCTTATTTAATTTTTGGCTTTCAAGAAGAGGATCCTAGCAGCCAAAAAGAGTCTTTAATTTTACCAATCTCAGGACCTCCTATGGTTAGGAAATCAGAACACCGGTCAGCTATATGTTGTTTGGCTCTCCTCAAAGCCAAATCGGATCAAGTACCAATTGATGAAGTTACCGAGACTATTAATTTTTCCTTTGGCGGTGAGGATTCACCAGAAGCTTCTGGCATGTGGGTCACGGCCAGCCATGAGGGAATGATGCGCTTCTGGACATCTCATATGGAACCAATACGAACGGCATCGTCGGAAAGCAGTAAGTTTATATAAAACAATATACGTTCAATTTAAAGTTTTTAACTATTGTATAAATGTAGCAGTAACTTCTTTCAAAAAAAAAAAAACAAGAGAATTCTATAGTCATCAGATACATCAGATACCTTGCTAAGCTAGTGGAAGGGCGAACAAGAAATTCTTAACCTTCGGTAGAAATTACAAAAAAAAAAAAATATTAATTTACAAGACTAATTAAAACAAAAGTGATGGCGTTTCACCAATTGGAAACAAACTCGCGCTGCGCCTATGTCTTTAGAATTTGTAAGTTTCTAGCTCTTATAGTTCCTGAGATCTCGAAGTTCATACGGACGGACATGGCCAGATCGACTCGGCTATTGATCCTGATCAAGAATATGTAGTGACATATTTACGAATTCAGACCGAGAGTTTAAAAAAAAAACACGATTGAGTTTTATGTTTTATTAAACCTTTTATTTATTCCATTTAAGGAAAGAACTAGAGCCATTTTATTATCACTAAATTGGAAGTTTAAATCGGCTCTAGCGGAGTTATCGCAGTTGATAACGTACTCAGTACTGAACTGCTGCCAATTTGGAGAAGCCAAAGAGCGAAGTTTAAGAGAGTTGGGTTGTAAACCGAGAAATTCTGTTTCTTTCTTCAGAAATTCACATTTATCAAGTTGCAATTTTAGATTTCTTATCAAATACCCTTTTCAATGACATTATGTGTTCCTCTAGTGAAGTGGAGTAAACGATAATATTATCTATGTAGACTAAACAATCCTTATAGCTTAAATCTTCTAGAAGGTTGTTCATGCTACGATGAAAGATTGCTGGTGCATCTTTCAAACCGAAGGGCATACGAGTATATTCGTAATGTCCATGTTTTGTTGAGAATGCGGTTTTGGGTATTGACTGTTGGTCCATTTGAATATGATGGAAACCTTTAGCTAGATCAATAGTTGTGAAGTATTGACAGCGTCCAAGCTTGTCTAATATTTCATCCATTACAGGAATAGGGAATTTGTCGTCAATGGTTATTTCATTGAGGCTTCGATAGTCTATGACTAATCGAAATTTTGGTTTGCCAGAAGCATCGCTTTTCTTTGGGACAATCCAAATTGGAGGGGGGGATTTCGATTTCCTAATTATTTTTTGTTCGTTTCGTTGATTTGTTTATTAACTTCTTGGTCAAATGCTTGGGGGTATTTATATGGTTTTTTTATAGATAGGGTCTTCGTGCATGTATGAATAGAGTGTTTAATTGTACTTGTGAAGGTCAAATTTTCACCTTCTTTGTACTGAATATCACTGTATTCGAGCAAAACGTGTGAAAGTTGTTCCCTATCTTCCGGATTTAGATGTTCGAATCTGAATACGTTGGATTCTCTTAACTCGTCCTTTAAGGCGTAGTTAGAGGATGAGGGTTTTCCTCAGATTCAGAAGATTTGGGACACTCATTGGTAGTCTTGGATTCTTCCGGATTAGATGGCTTTGGCTCATCTGGTTTTAAGTGGGGTTTCCGCTTAATTTTACGGAGGGTTTTCTCCTTTTTTGGGGTATGTAGAGGGGTTTCCTCTAGGTTAGATGACTTGGGGTACTCATTGGTACTCATCTTTTGGATGTGATCGTACCACATTTTAAATGGGTAGCCATTTCTGTTGACTGTTTGTGTTGAATAGTTAATTTGAGTGTTGGTTAACTCTAAATAGTTTCTGCCTAATAATAAATCATATTTTTCTGAGAAATAGTGAATAAATAATGTTTGTTTAGTCAAACAAAGTTTGCTTGAATGCAATGAAACGCTTTGGAGAATTTGATTGGGAAATATTTTATTATTATAATTATAATTTATAAAAATAAGAAATATTATTTAATTTAATTTTTAGGAATGGATTACATATTCCTCTAGATCGCTTTCTGATTCCGAGACTGGTTGAAGAAAATTTTCGCTTGTGTCCATTTTGTATTGGTCACTAACACTTTCTCTCTGCCGTTTGACGGGAGGGTTTGGTGCCTTACTACTTTGTTGTTGGTAATTTAAAGGGTTCTGGGCTCTACCCTGATTTAGCTTTTGATTAAATTCTTGTATAACCTGCTGGTTTGATACAACAGGTTTTGAATTATTGTTGGGATTTGATTTATTTGTGTTGTGAATAAAACTATTCGCGAAATTTTGATAATTTCCTTTATTCTTAGAAGTTTTGGGTGGATTTGTGTTAGAATTGGAGTTATTTTGGTGTTTCGTTCGGTCATTGAAGGTTATTCACCTTCTTATTGTGCTATTTGTTTGAGTTTAGATACTGTCGTTATGTCATGTCTAGCAAGGGTCATAAATAACCTATCGGTCAATTTTCTCATGATCACGTCTTTAACTTTGTTGTTTAATGCATTTGTGTATTATAAGGTATTGTTAACGTTATTTTCTAGCATAAGCTTATTTGAAATCATTCATGAATGATTTAGTTTCTAATTCTTCGACGAACTTACGGGTACTTCCGTTGAAGGGTGCGTTGTAGAGGCGACGGAGTAATTCTTCACATGGTATTTTCGTTTTATATTCGCTGATTCGTTCATTAGAGTGGGCCAGGTTGTTGCTCCAGATAATTGTGACACTCGTTGATCATGTCCTGCGAACTGCATCTCTGCGCTGAAGAATACATGTTTTTGTCTGGGTTCCGTTGTTGGATACAGTTGGAGTATGAACTCTATCCTTCGTATAAAGGCACTGAGCTCTTGGGTGTCTCCACTGAATGAAGGTATTTGCCTAATTTAACTTAAGGCTTGATTAAAGTGGGATTCTGATATTAGTTGGATTTGTTCGGTTGCCATAGTTGATTTTGTTTCTGTAGAGTCTTTTGGTTTTTTGTTTTTTCACTTTTATTAATCGTATGCAGTAAGTTGACTATTGTGTGACAACCACCGATTATACGTAGTTCTTTTGCGAATAAATAGAGTTCACTTAGCGCCGATTCGCGTGGTTCAATCATTAAAAGATACGCTTGGTTATACAAGGATCTTTTGTCACTAGATTGATATTTGTAAACGAGTCGTACAACTTTTTCTTTTTATCCTACCGACTGCGCCATTTACGAATTCAGACCGAGGGTTTGATAAAAAAAAACACACGATTGAGTTTTATATTTTATTAATTCCATTTAAGAACTAGAGCCATTTGATTATCACTAAATTGGAAAGTTAAATTGGCTTAAGCGGTGTTATCGCGGTTGATAACGTACTCATAAGTGAACTGCTGCATGGAGGCATGCTTTCTGTTTTATAGGCAATTTGAGGAAGCCAAAGAGCGAAGTATAAGAGAGTTGGGTTGTAAGCCTCTATTTTCCTGTTGGAAGAGAGTCTTCTGAAAAATAGGGGTAATTGGAGAATCCTGGGACAAGTGCGTAGGCGTAGGCGCCGATCGCGAAAGTTTATTATTTCAGTTGGCTCGCCAAGTGGTCGAATGCAAATGATTAGGCGACGAGAGTCTATGTTTATAAAGGCGACAAGAGTCTATGTTTGTGATAAGACGACAAGTGTGAGAAAGGGTGGCTTCGGAACATGACGCTGTGTCATGTGGTATTCTAGTGGTCCAAGGTTAACCGAAGGGCTCTCGTTCTTTGACTACATCTTGAGCTTAAACTTAGATATTTTGTGTTTATACATTAATGTGTGTGTATGAGCTTATTCCAGTGTATGTTGCTTATAATTATCGTATGGGGAGTTATGGGTGATGGAAATGGAAATGTTATGGCGCTTATTTCAGGGTATATTGCATTTACTTGGGGTATTTACTTGGGGTACAACGTTTTCTGTTTCAGGGTGTATAATAGTTTCGTTTTCTGGGGTTTGATTTTTGAATTTTACAATACATTTTTGGGGTATAGTTTTATATTTATAAATAAAGTACAATGCAACAATTATAACTAGTTTGATTAATTCTGTAAGTGTTATTATTTGAAAGATATTATTTGTCTGATTGTGTTGTTCGATTATTTCTTTTGTGTGAATGTATTCTAGTGGTTCAAGTTTTGTTACGTTATTGTTTACATAGATAGTTTGAGTGTAATCTAACATTGTGTTGCTAATCTTCTTAATGAACGTCACAATTAAATGTTTTTATCATGTTGTTACCTTCTATTATAATTTCTCTATTAATACAATTTTGGTTTAAAATTGTCTTGGGAAGGTTCCAAGTTGTAATTATATTAGGTTCTACATATTTTATTTCAAAATCAGAATGTGTTTTACTGAACCTACATTGTGTTGAGAGTTGGTTTAGTATGCCTGTTATACATTTACTTATGACCATGCTTTGGGAATTTGCTGTGTAAGTTTGATTATTGTGTAAAAAATATTTGTCAAGTATTGTTTCAGTTAGTATGTTACTATTTTCGTCTGGGTATGGTATTATTTTAAAAACTGGTGTTTTAATTATTTCTCTTGGAATGTGGGATATTATCAGAATTTCGTTCGTATCAGATTTAAGCAAAGCAGAAGTTTTGATATTAAGAATTTTTTCAGAATTGACGTGAGCTAATGAATCGTGTTTTAAAAGTTTTGGGTTCAAGATACCTAAGCGTGTCAGTTGCAAACCAAGTTTTATGTCTTCTATGTATTCAGTGAATTGTTGTAGGTTGAAAATTACTAAGGCTAACATTTGTTCTCCTTCAAAGTTACTATTTAAATGATTGGTCAATTCAATTCCTTCTTAAA